GATAATGGCAAATATGTAAAATATCATGGGATACGTGAGACAGAGAAGAAGTGGTAAATGATGTAATATATTACGCATCCAGCGGATTCGTAGGACATGTGCGTTAAAAATGAGCATGTGTCGTTGAATAGAAATGATGGCAATTAGATATTCGCTTGTTACATCAATTGTGTACTCAAAGAAGGTCCACCACGTACAGTAAGCTGGTGTAGCTGGACTTACGTAACCAAGGCGAAGAAAGTGAAGAGAATGCGGCATCACAAATAATAGCTCAATAAAATTTATTACGAGCAGAATCAGTAGGGCACAGTTTTATGGGGCACGTCGGAAAGCTTGATGCTTGGCAAAGAAGACAAAGATAAGGAGAGACAATGCAATCGTTGGAATTTGTAGCAGAATTAGTAGCCAAAATTTCACTGAGCGGAGTAAGAATGTATTGTCTTCAAACGTTTCCATGTCGCTGTTGTTCATCGCTGTGATAGATTAATATAAAGTGAGCGAGCTGGGTTGATGATTATAAAGCACTTGATATGCATCATCATCATTTTCTCTCTCTTCTACTTTGTGCCAAGTATAATATCTATATTTTTATTTCTGTTGGTAAGAAACCTTGTGATACACATTTTTTGGTATAATCATCACTCAGTTGTAGAGCATCAACCAACTGGAAAGTAATCGGAGTGAAGATGCCATCAAATGCGTTGCACGACCACGATAACTATCATTTAGACGAGTTCGTATATCGCTGTTATAGCTCAATTAGAAAAAGACTGACCTATTTTTTTTCTTGAGAAGAAGACAAATCCAATTTGGTAACCTCAACTTTTCTCATCAACAGCCGATCAATTCGAAATAATCTGAAGCATAGCTAATGTGTTTTAGTATCACTAATAAATGATAAGAACATGCAGAGCTAATTCACTAACGTGTTTCGTGTTTATTTATTAAAATACTAAAACATCCATCAAGGCTCTGCATTACAGCTTTAAGCAATAAAGTAAAAAAACGGGTAAAGAAAACGATGTAGTCGTTTTACAATTAATCTCATATTAATAAAAAAAGAGAAAACGTTCGACAAGCAGTGCTCATTCTATGGATTCACTGACTCTTTCCTGACAGAAATACTGCGATACTACTTTTAGGTAAACTTTGAGTAAGATCATATTAGATAGTTCTACCATTGGTTCCATATATAAAGATAAGAATAGAAAATTCCTTCAAAACGATCTCAATCTCAGTTTGTTAAACAGAGATTTTGCGAAAATGGCACGTAGTTTTACAAACATAATTAGTATTATTCTGGCCATATTATAGCAACCATCATTGTGTAGTCTCTTCTAGGAGGAAAAAGCAGACTTTTTCACTTGAAGCTGTTTCGCACTACTTTTGTACTTTTCTACTTCTAGTCTGCTTTTCCCCCTAGAGTCTCTTAAAAATCAATCTACAACTTGTCTCTTCAAATCTTTACTGAAGTACAATTTTTGTGACTAATCAGAGGCGAAGGACTAGTCATTCCATGCATTAAACCTCATTGAATAGGCGATGATTCACTTTCTCATCATTCAACTTTTTCATTTTTCGCATTTTTTCGAAAAACTAGTCGAGTTGTCATAGAATGTGTCCAAGGAGTTGAATTTTAATATCACATAATGACCTTCCTTTGTGAACTTCGCATCCGGGACAAAATTGCACATTCTTCAAGATACTAGATGTGGGTGTGAGGGTAGGCGGGTGAGACAAAAGAGAAAAGAATATCCAAAACCACACCCACACCCTTTCGAGTCGTTAAATCAAGTTATTTTTTTGTTTTCTACTTATTTTATAAAAACATATTAACAACAATTTTTAGCAGCTATTGACGATGGAACATTCCCAAGTGTCACATCGCTTTTGAGTCGAGAATGTGAGCATCATATAGGCCCTAATGATCTATGAATAACCTGAAAAAAGTTCCTGTTGCTAGCTTATTGCTGTCGAGATATTGCATTTTTACGATGTGTTTTTAAACGAATGCCGTGGTCCCCCTCAGGAAAACTAGAAAAAAATGATTTTCGAATTTCGACTTGAAACTTTACATAGAAACAGGCCTTATTGAGAATAGTTATTTCTGAAAGTTTCAGATGTTTTGATTAGTTCCTATCCTGAAATAAGAACATCAAATCTACTGATTTATCCAAATGAAGTTATCATAGCTGTATCTACGGATAGGAACAACAAACAGATCTGAAACTTTCACAAAGAACTATTCCCATCGAGGCCTGTTTCTATGCAAAGTTTCAGGTCAAAATGATAAACTCAGTTTTTCTGGTGTTTCTGAAGGGGACCACGATGTTGTTCTTAAAAATACTGTAAAAATGCAATATCTCGACAACAATAAGCTAGCAGCACGAACTCTTTTCAGGTTATTCATAGATCATTAGGGCCTATATGATACTCATACTTTCAACTCAAAAGCAATGTGACACTTGGGAATGTTCTCTCGTGAGACTTATTTTTTGGAGTTTTTCAACAAATTCTTATGCATTCTGAGATAAAGCTCTTACGATCCCTCTGTACATGTATACATACTTTCAATGTGAACGTGCGCTGAAATATTAATACAATTAATAATTCCTAATAAATCCAGTAAAACGAATAAACCCAAGAAAAACAAGTCCCAGTAGCCTCGACTGCTTGCTAGCAAAAAGTATTTCTAACATTCAAATTAATGTCTTACTGCACTTGGAAGGTATTAAATGCAAATATTAGGTTATGAAAAACTTGAACGATGCGATTCTGTTACAAAGCCGTTTTATGAAAATACACTTTCAACTGGTGCTGTTGTAGCAAAAGCACACGATTTTTTTAGACAACTTCTTCAAAAGCTGATATGAATTTACTTTTTTGAAAATAAGATCACTAGTTAAATTTTCTTTCTGAAGAGAACGATTAATTCCTTCTAAAACTGATTTTGGTGTTAAATTGTATCAACTTTTATTTTTTCGAATGACTGACTTGGGTCAGATAGTCGAGTCAACATAGCTCAAATTTCGAGTCCAAGTCTTTCAAAAAAAATGTAACTCGAGTCGGCTCGAGTCCGAGTTTTGACTCGAACTTGTCCATTCCTGATACATGGAATCTGGAAAAACAAAATAAATAAATGTTATTTTTTTTTTCATCTGTTTTTCGTTTTGATTATATAATGTTTTTTCATTATTTTCTTTTTCATAAAAATACAAATATGACAAACCAATCGTCTAACAAACAAATGAATAACGACGATTGTTTTTCTTTCACATTATATAGGACGGCACAGGAATATTTTACGATTCATCGGTCAACATTTTTTGTTTCGTCAAATAAGTTCATCTTAATATAATGAGTAGGAAATCTATATTTTTTTTAAACACATTCATACATATTATTATGAAGTATGGTCTGAAATCTCATTATTTTTCAATATTAGATTTATAGTTTTACCCGACGTCTCAAAAAAAAGAGAAAATAAAGCAAAGTAATTCTTTAAATTTTTTTATAAAAATAAATTCAAGAAAAAAATGATTCTTTTAATGTCTAGTGCATTTTTATCATATTATGTTGAAACACATCCATATAAAATTATCTACAAAATCCAAGAAATACTGATATTTATTTTATAAATAGTAAGTAAATTAGATAGAACTTTTATTGCATTAAGAACTAAATATGAACACGAGTAAATCATTATTACAAATGAATACTAGAATAAGCATCTGAAACAAATATAATCAGTCTTATTATGAGTAGCAATAATTTTTAAGATGATTATTATTGTTATGTATAAAATAAATATAGTAATCTTACACTTGAAAATATTATATTATTTTAAAAAAAATCCTGATTCAATTCATTGAAGTAATAAATATTTCATATTTTAATATAGAAGATAATCTACTTAGAAAGAATAAAATATTTAATTGGAATATTTAGTCTTCGTTTCAAGTTTGAGATTTTCAATTAAAATACAAAAATTTCAAAGCGATGCGGTTTTTATACAAATACTAATTTATGAGATATTTCTTTATTTGTTTTGTATTTATAAGACTAAAGTCTAAATTTACCAACTTCTGTTTTCATTTATAAAAAAAACTTTCAAATGAAAATATTTTATCTAATTGAGTTTTATTATTGTCATAAACAGGAGCGTAAATAGGGGATGGGGTGTAACGCCCTTTGCTGTTGGAAAATTTTATTCTTCTTGCTGATGAAAACCCAAAAAAAGTGGTCTTTTAGGAGTGTTTTGCTGTTGGATGCATATGAACGGAAACATTACGCCATCTGCTTCGGAGGTCGACTTAAGCCCTTGATCATAGATTAATTATTCTTCAACATATCGAAATACAAACTTTGTTTATTTGATTGATCCAAAGATATCCATGGCGGCGTGGTAGCGGTAATTTTTTTCAAATAATCATCGCGACAGCGGTAGGTTTTTTTTAGAGGACAATGTGAAAATGCATGAATCTGAACACGAACTCAATGTTCATAAGTGCAACATTATGAGACTCGACGAATTTTATCAATTAGTAACAACAGTTTTAGTCCAAAACAGAAAACTCATCAAATTTTTACATTTAGAATAAATACATATATCTGAGAGCTGTGTATTAATGTCCAACATTGATCAGTTTTTTCTTAATCCAAGGTCGAAAAAGTTTTAGATCAACCATGGTTAGTTATACGAACTCTTCCAAGAATCACATACATGAAATTATTACCTCATTTGAAGTTGTTATTTCTCTAATATGAATGCCAATATCAGCGAATCTAGTGTCAATCAACCCGAGTCGAACACTCATATTTATAAAACAAAGATAATTATCTATTGATTATTTTTATTGAAAAATCTCTAATATTGTCTTTATTTCTATAAATATTTTAGTTTTTAATTTTTAAGTATATATGTTTCTATTTGAAATTAAAACTATCCGAAATATTTTAATAATTATATAATCGATAAATATTTATTTATTTTAGATAATATGATTATAACGTTCGAAGGATTGCCAAACGAAATTCTTCTGAGAGTATTTTCTTATTTCTCGTGGTCAGAGTTATTAACATTTTTATGGTCATTAAATACACGTTTCGATACTCTTATATGTTCTCTTCTTTCAAAATTTAATAATGTTCTTATTATTATTGAACCATATTTATCTTTTGCTAAATGTCATGCAATATTATTTCCATTGGTTTCTCTTTCTTCATCATTACTAACTTGCATTCAACGTATTCATATTGATGAAACAAATCCGAGTGCTTATGATTTAATATATGGAATGACTTTTTGATAATGAGAAACATATATTTCGTTTTCCAAATCTTAAATCACTTTTTCTTACTCAATGTTTATTGATAAAATCTTTAGTGAAAGTTTTATCTTCACTTATCAAACATCAACTAGACGAACTTACATTAACGTTTGATTGAGACATGATTAAATTGCTAAGAAAGTCAAATTCGAAGGAATTATTGTCAATCAATTTTCGAACAAGTAAATAACGTATTCTAAAAATACACTTTTGATAATAGAAAAACTAAATATTGAATGATAGTTTATTTTTGTTATATGTAATTTTTTCTTTCCTTGTTAGGAAAATTACTGTCGTTGTTTCAGGAATTAATTTATCAATTTTTCACTAGGGAATGTGGACTAACTTCGCTTCGACTCAATATTGCTTGTGATGATCATCATGATCTTCATCACTGTTTAAAACCTCCTGATGATACTTCTGTATGTTCAATTTTTTTGAACAACATCAGCCGTACTGTCGAACTCTTCGTTGTTTATACATTCATCTTAAATATACATGTTTTCTTGAACATCTTATTGAACATGTTCCTTCTATTGAAGAATTATATATCTGCTTTCGACATTAGTTGGAAATCTCGCCATGATCTGAGGTCGAGGTGGAAACATTAATACAATCAAATGGAAATTGGTTTAGTAAAGTAAGACAAAATTATTATTGTAATAACTGTTCATCTGATAAAGACGTTCTGTAAGAGATAATAGTTTTGATAGTCACTGTAATTGATTGGTATGTCTGTTAAACAAAATATTATTTAGTAGAAATGGTGATTCGAGAGAATAGAACATCTATTAATAGATATCTAATTATTCTCATAAACTGCATGAATAAAAATATACAGTACTGATATTGGTACCTTTTTATCATTTACTTATAAACTGTTGAAGAAACTCAACTTGAAAAATAATTTGAATCAGTTAAAGAAGCTCGTTGTTCTACTGACAGATATACTCAGATGATGATGAGAATACCACTTATGATAAGTATAGATCTGCATGAACGATGTTCGGTTTAAGTTTAAAACAAATAAAAAACATCATTATCAGACAATTAATAATTAGATATGGATGTATTTATTAATAAGGTTGTTTACTAATATATCGCTAGTATTGGTGATTTCCGAAGATAAGGCAGTCTAGTCTCTCTTCAAAAAGAATAGTTAGCAAAAATTAGACTTTGATAATCATACATAAGAAATTACATGTGAATGTTGAAGACTCACGTCAATTGCTGTCTATTGATGTTTGAATGATGACCTATTTTTTATATTTATAGGTGTCAAAGTTGAAATGTTTTATACTAAGTAGATACAATAGTTGCTGATCATTTGGAATTTGCATATTTGAAATGGATTCTAAACAATCTTAATCATATTCAAAAATTTAAACTTCGCCTTAAAAACAACTATGAATCTCGAAGAAAAAACACACTTTACACTTCTGTTTTTGACGCTAATTGTATTCGTCAATATTGTTTACTTGATGAAGTTATTAATTTAATACATTTTCATTTTTATACATCTTCGAAATGCATATTAACAATGACTGATACTGAAAAAATAATCCATTTATGTCAAATTCATCGGTTTTTTGTTGATCATTAATGGGCAAATGTCAAATACTTTTATAATCCAATAAGTTCTTATCAATATGTCTGTTCTTCTCTCATCTATACATCTCAATTCTTCAATAAATTAATGTAAGAAAACATTAAATATCAGAATATAATTATGTTTATGTTCTAGTAATTATCCAAATATTTTTTATCGGTCAAATATCCGATATGTTTCAATCGATTTACATCCATCTCTTTATCGATTTCTTGAACAACTCAATGGTTTATTTCCTGATGTTTTTTGTATTAAAGTTGATACGGATGAATGTTTGTAACAACTTTAGATATATCAGTTCTGAATAATGTTGATATTGACGGTATCTGTATATCATGCGTGTTTTGACGAACCCGATTATGAGTAAAGACATTCTCAGTTATGTTCTGTTGTTAGCATCTATTCAACAATTTTTAAAAACCAATAAATTGCCTTGTCTCTTAGAAGTTGACAGATATTCCAACAATTCTGATGTTCTGACATCATTGAAAATGTCATTTGAAATGGAAAAATGTAAACTGAGCGATATTAAATTTCGACATGTCACTAGACTTGACTTTGGTCCGTATATCAGTCCTGCATCTAGTAAGTTACTCATGATATTTAATAGAAATTTAAAAATGATATTTTTCTTAAATTCTGATCATCCAAATTCTAAGAAACTTTTCTGCAATCTTCTATTGAAATTTGATACATTTTCAATTTTTTATCTTTTCCTTTTGAAATATTTTGATCAAAGATTACGTAAACTTAAAAAATGTTAAGCTAAATTTATTGTTTTTTATAAGAATAGTCAAAATAGAAAGAAAATTTCTTTTCAAGTAGATTGTGATGACTCAATTGGTTGAATTAAAGCACGTGCAATCACACTCGCTCATCTCATTTCAATGCCTATTCAACTCAAAGATCTTCGAATATCTCACTTTAAATGGCTTTTGGATATTTTTCAATATGTAAGTATTTCTATATTTTACCATGAAGAAAAAACTAATCTTTTCTAAGTAAAAATGAAAAACAATTTTGATCAAAAATTACAGATATTCAATCGAAATAATTTTGTTTTATCGATGTAGTTATAATAGAGATTAAATAGTTTTACAAGTTTCTGATTATTTTCTGGTTAAAATTCGACTAGTTTCAATCGAAATAGGGATGTGATATCCAAATTGAATAATCACTATTTTCCATTTCACATCAGAACCATATACAATAGATTATGGAATATTCCAACATTATATTCTTGTCGAAAAGAGTTTTCAACAAGAAGAAAATAATGAACTTCAACGACACAGAAAACGTCGAGAGACTTTCAAGATCATTTAATCTGCTGTACTATCTTTATTTTTCAGATCGGATGTGTCTGTTTTTGGTATTCTTTGTTCTATTTAAATTATCTAGAAATAAATATCCACTGCTTTCAGCCTTATAGGTAATCCAAAATATAAAGTTGCGGTAGCTCATTTGAAAATCTACCGAAATAGTAATTGAGATAAAAAACAGTTTTCATCGAACACATGATGTTATGTTTAACTTCGAAAAACTGAAAAGAAAAGAGAAGATAGATTTGTTTTCTTTATGACAATAAAAAGAAATAAATCCAATTGATTCATCTTGAATTTAAAAACATATGTGAAGTATTGAAAGAATAATTGAAAACTGGCCAAGCTGAAAATATTATCAAACATTGTATTGGCAATTGAACATGAAGAAAAGAAGACTGAAAAAGCGCTTGATATCCTATCAACAAATGTATCATCAATTTTTGACAAAATCTTCATAACTTTTTTTTACATTTTACTTTTAGACATTTAATAAACTAAGAAAAAATGCATAAAATACTGTTCGATATGCTGAATTTCATATTTCCAGTTGTCATTATGATCCAAACGAATTAATTCGTATTGGCAAAAATCTTGTACCTTTTCTTACGACTTACATGTCTAAGTTACAAACATTACGTCTTTGGCGACCTGATGATTTTCCATGGACATCTAGTACGTATAATTTAAATTTTTAAATGGATATTTACGATGAAATATCCCATACAGACTCAGACATACAGATGTCAGAATATGTTTGAATTGTTCCAAAAGTATGTCGACTTTCATTCACTTAGATTTATTTTATAGCATTGCTAATAGTTAACCATATAATTGGTTCAAACATTGATTCATCGATTATGAAGACAAGGTAAATTTGACCGATACCTCACTAAAAGCTAAATCATAGCCAGCATCCGAAGTAATATTGAGATCAAAGAATATACGAATATATTTGATTGATTCTAAATAAATTATCGTATATATAATACCTACAATGAAAACAAAACTCAAAATAGAGACAAAAAATTATTGTATTTATCAATTAATAAAATCGATTAAGAAGAATTTTTCGACAAAAAAAGAATCTTATAGTTTATCATATATTTGTCTATGATGTAAAATTGTATTAATCTTTCATCTGTTTCTTTGCTTAAGTTCGAACAGATTTCAATCCATGTCTTTTCGGTCTTTTGGTTACACGATGGAATCTGTTTCTTCAAACACCTGTATCGATCAGTATGTAAATAAAAGAGATTTAAATGGGAATATTTCGAAAAAGAAGAAAATATTTATATTTTTAAGATCAACTTGTCAACATTTTTGAACAAGATCTTTGCCAATTAATTAAACAATTGAAAGAATTCATTTTTCTTGACATTCATAGTAAAATTGATCAAGAAAACGTCGAACCTTATCATTCTATCATTCGTGCACGTTTTTCTAATAGTTGAAGTATTGTTGAAACAATTAGATTTTGTCTTTGGCTGTGATTTTTTTGATCAGTTATATTGGAATAATTGTATAATTAATGAGCTGCGAGAATTTTTGTTTATATGCTTCTTCAATAGACAATAAATCATAAATCTTATATAAGATTTATTTTTTTAATTTAATTTTAATTCCATTATTATTTTCTGTGACGAATGAGAAGAAGACACACACAAACCATATACTTTTCTATATATCTTTTATGTTTAATTTATCTTCTACAAATTTTATAATTCACACAACTTCTATACCTCTCATATGTATGGAGATTGAAACTGGTTTCTATGAAATTCAAAAAAGACATTTAATTTGTTGTTTACAAAAATTAATTGATATTCAGCTTGCAAACATTAATATATTATGCTCTAATTTAACAGATTAATCGTATCTTTTTCTGTTGGTGTTCTCATTCTTTGTTAATCGTTGGCGAAAATTCTGTTAGTAACATAAATTATGTTAACGAAATTTCGACTAATCATTTGTTGCAATAATTGTCAATCAATGAAACAAAAATGAAGTGTAATGATATGACATTAATATAAAAAAAAATTATTTTCATA